TCTTCAACCAGGCAGCAGTAGGTGAAGACAGACGCAAGGACGACAGTATAGAGCCAGAGAGAGAGTGACGAGCCCAATAGCAAGGGCAAGAAAGAACAGAATAAACTGAACTGAGTGAGATAACAGCAATCACTCGTGCCACAATGGAGATGCTCAGACCAATCATAGAGCAATAGAAATGGCGAGACCACATGAATCATGAAACTGCTGATTCATGCAGATGCAGGAAGGTCGAGCGCTACTATTCTCCCGGGGCAGCAATAAGAAAAAGAAGCTACGACAAGCAAGCTATAGCTAACGTGCAAAAGGAGATATACGAATGGTAGCTCTAGCTCAGAGTTCAGAACATAATACAATATCATCATCAATCGTCTTTATCTGCTAACAGCCTGGTACAGTAGGCTGTTGGGAGCAGCAGCATTGTAGATGTCTTGAGGGGTAGGTAGAACCGGTTGACGTACAATCTGCTGACGGGCCGAAAGTGCACGTTGCACGGCAGCAGCTCTCAAGATGATCTTGTTGTAGCGATCGTTGAGATTTGCGAGTACAGTAGCCTGGCGAATAGGCATCAGGTTGTAACCAGACTCAGTAGACGATCTTCCATCGGCACCATCATCTCTCAATCCCAACCAATAAACAAGATAGGTGTCAGCAGGACGTACAGCCATAACACGGGCCGGACCCATCCAATTTGTGGCAATCTTGTAGTGGGATGGCCGCCAAACGTAGACCCAGGAACCGAGCTCAATAGGGCCGACACGCCGACCAACCGAAGAGAGAGCCCATGACCTGCGCGATGCTGCTCGTCTAAGTTCCCAATTGGCTTGATACAGCTTCAAGCTTATCCCAAGAGATTCTCGTACAGCTGCAGCAACTTGAGCTACGTTGTTGTTTACCTTAGAGGCCAGCTCGGAGGGGGGAATAGCCTCAAACGCCTCAATGAAGTGCTCGGCAGCGGGCGATAGAGGGCGATCAGCAGCTCCACCGGGTAGCAACGTTGTAGAACCCTTGGAAAGATACAAGTCATTAGGGGTGACAGCAGCAGCAGCTAAAGAGGAGCCAGGTAATGGGGAGTTGTTTTAAGCGTGGGTGACCAGGCTGTGAAACTTCCACCAGTAGCAAGCCGGTGAATTGGTCTCCAGCAGCATGGCTCTCAACCCATTTTGATACTCCTTGTGGCAGCGTTCGTAGAAGGCCAAATTGGGCGAGAATGGAGGCAACATCAGCAGCTGAATGCCTCTGGCCACAAACATCCCACGTACAAGCAAATTGGCGAATTCTTTCCCACCGTCAACCAGACAGACACTGGGCGAAATCTCATCCAAGAGCTCACCGAGAACCGTCGCAACTTCGGCTGAAGACTTGGTGCAGAGAGTGCGAGTCCATATCCTGTAGGTTGCCGCACATATGATCATCAGGATATACTTAGGTGTCGGCAAGGAGTCAGCAAGGCCATCACT